ATACCGAGTTGTTAGGAGGTTCCAATAACGATAACTAATATTTTCATCATTTGTTGAGTTAATCTTTGTATCAATGATCAGTTGGATACATCAAGATGGAAATTATTCCTTTGACTAGAGTTGCTCTTATTATTGATTTTCTAAAAGTATCTTTTGTTGCTTGCAAATTATTTTTGTTATTCATTAGTTACAAATCCAAAATCTCTCCCATTTAGTTACTTTGCTTTTGATTAGAGATATTTTCACTTCCTTACTCCCTGAGGAGATGACCCTACTCATTGCTATACTACTAAATTTCTTAGGAGTAGGTTCTTTTATTTTTGTTGGTTTGACAACCCACCATATACAAGAGAGAGTTAGAAGAAAATTTTCAAAAATATTAGACTAGTTTAGTTTCCGCTAGAACGTATGGTAGAATGTAATTTAAAAACAAAAATGTTAGTCGATTGAGAAAAATTCTAGTGACCTGTACAATTTATAAGAAGTAAGTACCTTACTTGTATAACAATGGAAAAAGTTCTTTGTTGTACTTGTGGCATGTCAACTAGGCCCTAGTTTGGGTCGTGACTTCCAGTGAGTATTCATATGTAGCTATACATGTCATTACCCACTTTATAAACTTTTGGGGGAAACTATATTGTTCTAACACTTCTTCAATCCATAAATAGAGTCATGAGCCTTTTCTAGATCTACCTTAAGTAAGTACTTGGACTTGCATTCTTTCGCTTATATAGTCTTATCATTTCATGCTTGAAAAAGCCTTTGTGGAGGATGTGTTTTTGCTTGACAAATGTTCTTTGATTGGCGTTTACTATGTTATGCAACACTTGACTTCATGTCTTACATATCACTTTTGATATACATATATATGGCGTATTGCAACATGATATTGGCCTATAAACTATTGCACCCTTGGTATTGCTGATTTTGGGATTAATGATATGATAGTGGTTTTCAGTTTCTTTAGTAGTTTTCCTATTTTGAAAAGTTCTAACACTGCTTCGCATATTTCATCTCCTATTATGTCTCATACACGTTTGCGGAAGCTGCTATTAAACCACTAGGTCATGAACTTTTTCGTATGTAAATGTTGAACATCACTTCTTTTAGTCGGGTTTACTAAAGTTTTTAATCAGGAGAATGTACATGCACACGAACAGTTTCATTCCTGAAGTAAAGACTGCAGTTTTACTTGGTATTCTATCTATTCATTTCCCCAGTCAATGCCCAAAATATTCTAAGAAATGATGCTATGCTTGATCCCATAGCCCTACTAGCATATCATTATAGCCTATACATGATCTAATTCGGTTTTGATCATTTGTTGCTTTATACTTGCATGAAAGTACCTATTCATGTCTCCTTCTTGTATATAGATTTATTTTAATTTTTTTTTCTAGAAAGTCGTCACTGCTTGGCTCTTTCCAATATATTCATTTGTTGCCATCTTTTTCTTCTTCCTGCAGCTGGAAATTTAGTTGATCATTTTTTAGCATTTGGTATACCTGATCCGATTTCAGCTTCCACTCTTGTGCATGCTCCTCAATGCGTGCAAAATTTCTCTTGTTTACCTCCTTTAATACTGCTTTCAGCATTTTCTCTTTCTGTGTAACCTTGTACTACCGCCTTCCACTGACGTCTTTGTCCCATTCTTCGTTTAACACCTTCCTATAATTCGAGTATTGTATCCACATGTTAAAAATATGCATGATCTCTTAACATTAATGTTATCGCTCCCCCATGTCATCATCAATGGACTACGATAAGAGATTCCTACTGTTAGGATCATTGTAAAAGGTTCGAGATACTCATTAATACATTTCTCATTTATAATTGTTTGTCAAGCTCTAACATTATTTTGCGGTTTTCTATTTGTTTGTTGCACCATGTATATTTATTTCTTTGTGTTTGCATTAGCTAGAGTTCACATATCATTAATATTATATATATATAGACTTGACAAAAAGTGAATGAATTAAAAAAAATAATAATCTAAAAATTTTTTAATAGTAAAATAAAGATTCATTAAAATAACTTATGATATTAACATGGTGATGACAAATAAGTCTAACACTTAAATGTCAAGTAGGTCATGTGAAATAAAGTTTAAACATGATTCCTCAAGGTCAAAATTGTATAATCTTTGTTAGATTATAAAATTAAAATAAAACACGCACACAGACACACAGTCAAGGCATTAATAAATGCCATGAATAAGTTCATGTTTCATAAAGGGCATACAGAGGGCTTATCACTTTTTTTTTTAAAAAAAAGAATTTAGTTTCTCACATTCAAATATTTTTTCGACATGTTACCAAACACAAGAAAGAGTTTAAATTCTTTAGAATCATATCTTTAGGATCGAAAAAGTGAAGTAAAATATTAATTTTCTTCTGAATTAAAATCCCAAGAATGTTAACTTTACGTTCCCCAACTTCCCTAACAACTAATAAGGCCCATGAAGTTCTCCATAACTAACCAAGCATATTTATGTTTCTTGCCAATGCTATCAACTCATTTCACAACTGATCTCTTCTATGGCTTGATAATCACCATACACCTTTGTGAGGTCAAACTTCCTCTTGGCTATTGCACTCACTTTGCAATGCATCCGTTGATTGCTAGTTGTTTTAGCTTTATTTCATATTCCCCCAGTGCCATAGTAACAATATTTTTTCCTTGTCCTTTGCTTGATGATTATTTGCATCGGCCTCGTTTCTCCATTTCCTTTTCATTAATCCTAACACTTTTTCCCTTGTTAACTTAGTTTCTAGTAATCCAACAATTCCAACTTTATTTACAGAGAGGCTATTATCTACCTCCCTATATTTTAGGGGACTGTTAAGGCCTTACATTCCATGTTAGTATGTTATTCATGTTTTTTAGGCCCTAAGTTCCAGTATAACATGTACCATTTATCACTTTATTACAGTTTTTTCCATTAGTCAATTTTACTCCTTCTGATTTAGTATCTAAATTCCTTCGGTGATTAAGACAACTTCCTCTTGGGGTTTGTTCTTCTTGAGCCTGAGTTTGTTCTTGTCTCTTTCCCTTAACACTCTTCATGATTTCTTGCCCCCTTGGGGTCATTCTGGTTTATTCACTTGTGGTATTTTTGCAGCGTCCTGCTGGCTTGTCTTCTACTTGTTTTGGCTGTTCTTTTTGTTGAATGATTACTTCCTTTTGCTTATTTTCTTGTCATTTGCAGCTTGCATTGTTGTGTGTCATGATCATATCTCTACAATTGCCACATTTTACTTCCATTCATATTTTTTTCTACTCCCCTAAGCTCCCAAACTCATCTTCAAACCATAGCTCATCTGGCATAGCTTTCTTAATTTCCATTTCCACCAACACTTTGGCATACCCTTTTATAAGTTTTTGGGAGGTCATATCATCCTTTTCAATGGATTTTCCAATTGTACTTGTTATTCAATTTAATGTAGTAGTAGTCCAATATCTAAGCTTCAACTTTGGTTGTTGTATCCAAATTGGTACTTCTTCTTTTTTTTTTTCTTTTTTTTTTATCTACTCCATATCAAATTCCTCTTCCACAGACTATTTTTAACGATTAGTGTTCCATTGTAAAAAGTGGTATAAATTGTGTTTCAAATATTCTTGTTTTGCAACCATTGAGTGGAATCTTACAATATAAACTGCATTCTCTAGCTGCAATGCGTTGTTAACTCCGAATTTTTCCTAGTGTCTTTGAATATACCTATCCAACAGATAGAAAGGGGAATTTGCTTCCCAGTAGATAATAGATCAATTATTTTCTCCAATAATCAATCGCATCTAGTATTTCCGCATTCCTAGTTCGCCAAATCACTTTATTACTGACTCCTACATGTTCAATGTCCTCTAACTTTTTCTCTTCATTATGCAATTTCTTGGGATTAAAATCCTCCCATAACATCATTCTCTGTTTCTCTCTTAATGTTTTTTATCAATTGTTTTCCCCAATTCCTTAGACCTTGAATTTTCTCCAATTTCCATTACTTTCTATCTACACAATTGTTCTAGTATAGTAGTTGAATTAGGAGCAATTGAGATTTGCTTTAACTAGGGTTACTTGCCTGGGTTTCAATTGATTTGTTCTTCAGTGGTGAAAAAGTTTCCCTTCACATTGATTCATTCCTCCTTCGGTTATTGTTGCTAACCACATTCAATTTCTTTTCCTCTCTTGTCCTATTTCCCTGCCATTGTGCACACGCAGTGGGTGTTCCATGGACTGCAAGTTAAACGCACACAGTGTGTTGGGTTTTGCCGCAAATTCCCAAGCACATGAAGTGAGTATTGGGCCAATTAGAGTCCAATAAGGTGTAGGGTTTGTATTAGAGTTCTAGTACAAATAGATGTGATTTATACTAGAATTATTTTGGAGGAAGGCAAGAAGTAGCCACTTGAGAGAGAGCTTGAGTGAGGGGAGAAGAAAATAGAATTGAGTTGAGTTGAGAATCCTCTTCTACTTTTTACTCTTTGTAGATAGTTTCCAGAGCACGTAGTAGGCTGAGTACGGGAAACACTTTGTGAGAGCGTAAGGGTACAATTGACTCAGGGAGAGATTTGTGTATTAAGGAATGCTCTACACTTTGTATACTCTTCCATTCTTATTCTTGTAGATTTGTTGTTGTTCCATGTATGTAGATCCATGAGAGATTGAACCACAGTATTTGTGGAGTGCTTCTTGTTATGATTTTGCTTGGTTGTTTACTTTTATTCCATTGCGTGCATGTGTTGGGTGAGTCAATATCCAGAATTTTGTGTGTAGAGGAGTTAAAATCCCCAATGCAGTGGGCGTGTAACCGCCAGTAGTATGCACTATCATAAGTTTTGCTATGTCTAGCTTAATAGCAAAATATTTTTCTTTTTTTTTTTTAATGATATTGATTATCAATTTTTTTGAGGAGGTTTGAGTGGTCTGGTCAAATGGTATTTATTATTCTCCTTTTCCCTAAAAGAAAAAGTAGATGTTGAGTTTTAAGATTTATAAAGGAGGAAATTAAATGTCTCTACATACAACAACTAAAGCCGCCATCATATGAAAAGAGGTCCAAAACAATATCCAGTTTGAAAGCAAACACGTGAAACTCTCTTAAAGTGTTTCAAACAGTGGAGTCATAGTCTGGAATAAGCATAAATTCCCTATAAGAGTCGCATAATCGAAAAATTGCTTGAAGAACTAATGGAACTCCAAACCCAACCCCAATCACAATTAGATAAACACGGATGAGTCGTGCAGGCATAACGGCATACGTGCCGCTCAAGAATGCTATCACCAGAAACATGAGGGCAATGGTAACTAGCAGCTTACTGTAGCCAACTACCTTTTCTTTTTCGTTGGGGATGAACCATTGTTCTTGTGCATTAATTTGTATCAGCACAGCACAAATTGACATCAACATTGCTATTGAGTCTGAGACGACAAATGCCACGAACGATGCTCTCTTTCCAAGAATCGCCATGCCAGCATTCTCTTTTGAGGAGTCGTAACCACCCGGGATGGTGAATCCAGCTGCAAAACTAACTGTGAGTATTAATGTAGCAATAACCATAAATATTTGTGCACTATCACCTTCCCCAACACCGCTTGCTTCATCAGGTTGTTCAGGGAATACCCTCCAAAAATTTGTACCCGCACTTGCTGTGAGCAACTCATGTCTAATTGAAATCTGAAATTAGATAATAGAAGAATTAGGCTTTAGTTAATTTTTCAACAAACTGGTCCCAACAAAAACATTACAACAAGTTAGTTTCCATGAGCTCTTTGGATCATTGTTCGAATAGCTCGATGATGGAAATGAGATTTTGTTTAAATGCAAACAATTTGAAGTTTGAATATTTTAGTAAAACTTTTTGGATCATAATAGAGACCCAGATAGAATTTTGAGGCTAATGACAACGAAAACAGTTTGACCTAGCACATTAACATACTTCCATAAACATATGTTGTTATAAAGCACTGCCATCAGAATAGGCTTTATTGCCTTTATCCCTAGATGAACATCTAGTTCGAATTTTTTACTTTTAGTAAAAAATACTAAAACGAAATACCAAAACTCAACAGTCTTCTAGGTTATCATTCATTTAATCTTCTTTGCATGTTATGTATGATAATCTTCTTTCTACAAACTTAAGTGACTTTACAAAATAATAATAATAATAATAATTATTATTATTATAATAGTTATTTAAAAATATTAATTGTAATAGTAATAATAAGAAGGTACTCCTTCAATCCCTTCATCCCATTTTGCTATGAGAGTACTTGATGACAAGCATGTGCCAAAAGAATTACCAAAATGATGCCAAGGTTATTTACCTGTCTTGTCGTGAGTTGTTCTGTCTGCCTTGTGACAATGTCTAGCGGAGTCAACCCCTTTTTGTTAAAGGCACTCCTGTCAACCCAAGGATGGTTTACAAGATTAAACCCCATTAAATTTTTGGTACCAACATAATGATGAAGGGCAGTGTTCCCATCTTCATCCTTTTTATTTATGAGTTCAGAAGCCCAACTAGTATCCAAAATGAACTCAAGCACTTCTTGTTGCTCATTCTCAATGGCAAGGTGCAATATATTTTTATTTTTATAAGTCACCATCTCCCAGCAATCAGGGCAGTGCGACAAAATTTCCTTGGCAACATGTAAATGTCCATTAATTACGGCAATATGAAGAGCTGTTAAAGCGCCATCCTTACTTGCAGAAACATATCCCACAGAGTTGTCTTTTGATAATAAAACATTTACTGTTTCATTCCGATTGAATTTAGCAGCATAATGCAATGCAGTCCATCCATGCACATCCACCTTTTTCATGAGGTGAGGAAATTTGTTCAAGATCATTGTGGTGCACTCTGTATGTACACATAGTATGGAGTCAGGTAAAGTAATTGTCCACTTAATTTGCTCATCTATTTTTTATTTGAAGTATTAACTCTTAATCAAAGGAATTTATATGTGACTTGAAACTCGAGAAAGAGGTGGCAGCCAGGTTTTTAGAAAATAACGACATTAGCTAATGTATTTCACAGCCAATTAGAGGTGGATTTTTGTGCACACTATCAAAATCAGGGGGTTTTGATCTTTTGTGTAAAGATTTGCGCCTTTGGGCATTGGAAAATAGAATGACATCTAGGTTAGAATTCTAGTTTTCAGGTTTGTCTATGCTACGGTGTCCTCATCCTTTTCAGATAACAGGATTTTCTAAAGAATTTGAGATGATGCTGCTTTGATTGTAAAATTGACAACTGTTAATCTTTTATGTGTTTTTTTTTTTTTTGGTGTTCATTTTTGGACTTTGGAATTTTATTTTTCCAATACTACTGGCATCTATGTGAACTTTCTATTTATCATTGTTATTCAGTTTGATTTTAAATATTATTAGAAAATTGATATATAGTCTAATTGAATTTCTTAACTTTAAAATTTCACAATTTTCAAAAGCTAGCTAGAGTACAAATTAAGAATGATATTAATCACTTAGTAACTAGACAAACTAATATTATAGAGTTTTTTTGGACATCATTCTCTTTATTACTTTAGTAGTCTGGGTTTTACACCCAAATTTCATTATACTAGAGTACGATATTTTAATTAAGATATCTTTTATTTTTACAATGAAATATATTTTCATTAAGGTTTATTATTTTGAATCGCCTAGTTTATCGATTCTTTTAATTTTTATTTTCCTAAACTCTATCAGTATTGTTATAGTGCTTGTAAGTTTGAATGTTATTATTTTTATTTATTTGTATGTCATTTCCAGATTTTAATCGAAACAATGAATTTTTTTTGATTGTTCTAGTGTCTGTTTTTTGTGAGTTCCAAGTTATTGTATTTTTTTCTATCGGTAATGTGTGCTTTTATAATTTTACAAACTGATGACAGTTTTAATACATTTTTACTATTTACAACATACATTTATTGTTTCGGATTTACTATTTAAGAAATTAAGTTAAAATAAGAAATAAAATTAAAATGTAAATTTCAATATAAGTCGCCTACAATAGTTAAACGCAATGGTTAACAAATAAACAAAACCCTAAAAGAACCAAATAAAAAATATAGAAATTCACAAATAAACAAGGGGCTTCCAAGCTTCCTCTCAGACTATAAACAACCAAATTGACACCACGATCTTCATATTCATATGGTTGGGGAACAAAGAGGTTAAAGGGATCATCAAACGAAATGAATTAGGCCCTCTTTGAAGATCAAAGTTTCAAGGGCGATTAAGAGTGAGATAATCAAATGAAATGAATCAGGCCCTCCTTTGAAAAACTACATGCCCAATTCATTGTTTCCTGACAACAGTCAAATTATACATCAAAAAGTATGATAATTTACCTCTTTTTAACTTGTAAATTATAATGTTTAGTTAAGAATTAGTTATTTCTAATTAGGATTTAATGTTTTGGGTGACTTAGGGACCTAATTAAAAATATGGAAAAAAAGTTGGCAAATATGTGGATATTTGTAAATTTCTGGGCATCAATCGAAAATGCCCAATTGGATTGATTATGCGAATATGAGAAAAAGAAGGAGAGACCGTCAGTAGCAGCACATGGACACCATAATTGGAGCAACTTTGGAAAGTTTTAAGTTAAGGAAGATGGGTAGCAAGCAATCCTCAAGGCTAAGGCAGAGCAAAGAGAATATGATGGCCACAAATGCTTGATTGCTAAGTTAGAAGGTAGTGATGTGAGGTTGCCGATATTTGGGGCTGCAAATCAGAGTGAAATGGCATGGGAAGCTTGAGGAGGAGATAAAATTAGAGGCAAAGGAAGATAACAAGGTATAGGCACCCATACTAGTAAAAAAAATTTCCTTCTCAACTAAGCAAGACCAATCAAGAAGCCAAGGGGAAGGAGGCCATACTTTTCTATAAAAGGCAGAAGAAGGACATCAGCAGAGGATGAAATCAGCTGAGAGAGAGAGAGAGAGAGGGAGTGACCCATAGCAATATAGAGAGAAAAGAGGAGCATTAGGCAGCAGCCACGGGAGACGACTCTGGGAAGTAACGAAGTTACTTGCTCGAGTCGCCAACCTCCAGCAGCAGTAGTAGATTTGTCTCCTTACTCTGTTTTTTTCTTTAGATGTATTTTTGTTCTTTGTGATCATGTCCTTGGCTATGTGAATCAATGTCATATCTATTGTAGTCAAGAACATGAGTAGTTAAACTGTTTATGGAGTTTTAGTCCCTTGAATCTCTCAATTTATTATTCATTGCTGTACTTGGATGGTATTTGTATGCCCAGTACTAGAGGTTGAATTAATCTTTTCATTAGCATGATCAAGTAGTCAATTGTGCATGCATGTGTTGTGAATCCCTTATGGGTAAGCATTTCTTAGAATGTCCAGTATTAACCGGTGACGAGGGCTTAACGGCCCAAGGTTTCAAAGAACAATAGAAGTTAGTTGTTTGGTACGAGGCTATCATAAGGGTTTTGAAACTTAATGGCTTAATTGTATTCTAGAATCAACAACGGAAGTTACATCGTTTACTTTTATTAAGACTCTATCTGGAAGAATCGGAAATGACCTTACGGTGTATTTTGCCTGATCGAACACAGTTTCACACTACTAGAATAAGAAACTAGAGAGAGGATAGTGGAATAAGAGCCCCATAAATAAGCTAAGTCAGTTTTTTTAACTTTCGCAAGTCAAATATTTTTCTGTTTGTTTTGTTGTTGAATTATTGAGGGTTTTTAGAGTTTCACCCGTCCCTCTGGGATCAACCTTTCTTACCACTATCTACAGTTCTAAGTAGGTTAACTTTTGTGGTTTCGACACCCATCAAAAGTGGCGCCGTTGCTGGGGTTGGCGAGAAACTTTTTTTAGCCTTAATTGATTTTTTTATGTTCATTATTTTTCTTTTTATCACTGTGTAGAGTCAGTTTTCTACTTGCAAAAGTCATGTGAGTTTAAAGGTGAAGTTTGTGCCTAAATTTGAAACTTAAAACGGATAATCATCTTTCATATCTTGGATATAGTTTTGTTCCACAGAACCAATCAAAGGATTGATAGATTACTTTCTTCCTTATCAAGTACCTTATCTTTATGGGCTGGGCTCGACTTCACAACTCCAACAGCAGCTTGACTTGACTTGACTTGCTGAAGTCAAAGATTGACTCAAGGAAGTTGTGTAGTACGAGCCCAGCCTAATTTTAACAATTGGGATAATTACCAACCGAATGCACCTAGTCATAAGTCTAATCCTTGTTATGCAAATCATGGTTTGAATCTTATGAACATGATTATTATTATTCTACTTCACCAATGTATTCTTGCAATGATGTTGAAGAAGCACCATTCAATATAGAGCGGGAGGAGTGAAAGAATGGATAAAGAAGATGGCACAATGAGCTTAACAACTAGATCCACGGTGCCAAAAGGTGGAAGACATCATAAGAATAGAGAGAGAGCAAAACCCATGAAAAAATAGTCCAATCAGCGAAGGTGAATGAACCAGAACCAAAGGTGGAAGCCACAATAGAACCAACGGAGGTGGAAGTGCACCCACCACCTTAACAAAAGCCACCACCTAAACCTCCTCCACCACCATACCCACTAAGGGTTTGTGATAAATTGACATCCCCAAGTGGTGATGAAAAAATTGTTGAGCCAAGAGTGGTGCAACAAGTTGTTAGCGACCCACTTGATGAGGAATTGATGTTAGAGGGACTGTTTTGTGAATGTGATTCGTGGTTAGCAGATAGTTGACATTGGAGATACAAATATGTGTATGGATGAAGAAGAGTCAATTATTTTCATTGGTGAGAGTCATGTTGGTACATATAAAGGTGACGTCACTTGGTTTGTGCAAAACTAGTATGTTGATTTTGATCAATTTCAAACCAATGAGATACCCAAAATGATGGAGAGGTGGAGCATGATGGATTTTCCTATATGTTGGATGATTGAAGAGAATACTTCCTAGAGGCATGATCGATCATTTAAGGGCACGTCCTTATGGTATGAGGATGTTTATTCCGAGTGCCTTGAAGCCATGAAACTTGATGATTGAACGCATCATGCATTGTACCCATTTGCTTAAATCATGGGAGACTACCCATGTTCTTTTTCTCATATTTTGTCTTCTTTTTGTGTGATTTTATTTGCAGCATTTTGTGTATGTGTTACCATGTGCATAAAAGGTATTAGTCTTACCCTAATTCATTTGGAGATCCAGAAATGCCACACATCAGGACATCAGTCATTCAGTGGAGTCAAAATCTCACTCCACCAAGTCCTTCTATAACAAACTGAGTTGCGGTGACTAGTTTGCTTTCTATTTTTCTTTAGTCTGCATCGGATCTGTGCTTAATTTTAAGTGTGGGGGAATTAATTCCTGGTTTGTGCGTGTGTGAGTTTTTAAAGTTTGTTTTATTTTTAAATAAAATAGATCTAGGATTACGGGAACAGAGGCTATTGATTTTAAACTGTTGTTTTCATTTCTGAAAGTTCTAGAGCTTTTTGTAAAGTGAGTTCGTCACTCTACGAAGTGGCTTTGAATCTACTTGATTCTTAAAGACATATCTGTTTCTTTTAATGGCCCACCCAAATATCTTGAAGAGTCTTCCCTCACTACCTTCGTAGTTCCTGATTCTCGAGGAGTCTTTTAGAATGCCTTAGAAGCTGATGCGAATTCTGAAATTATTTTGTGCTTGATGTTTTAGTTGTTAGACTTTAATCTGGATTGAGATTCTGATTATCTTTATGAGCATTGGTGCCATCTAGCAAATTTAATCTTAATTTTTCATACTGAGCATGCTTGATTGCATATGAGTTACCTAATTCCTTTCTGAGCTATGTTATTAAAGGATGACTTTATTTCTTGAAACTATGTTACTTT